TCACCCCTCACTTTCGTCCTTTCTGCCATGTGTGGGCTTCACTGGTTGAACTCCCGGGCCGACCGTCGGTGGCCCGTGTTGAGCCACGCGCGCCTCCCTGGCTCAGGAGCCGGACCGTCGCCAATGAAGCCCTCGCACGCGCGCTGGCAGGCGACGGTTTGCTGCGGGGACGATAAAAAACATCGAGTAGGTTGTGGTTGGCGGGGTTCGTGTGAGGGTCAGGTGACGTCAGATGGGGCATGCGTGAGGTCGTGTAATTCGAGCACCAGAGGCCCCCACAGGTAGGAGGCCCTTTAACCAACTCGACCGCTACCCATGTGCTGCGCCCATGCCCACCCACTGCCCATTCCTGGTCAGCTGTGCCCACCTGTTGCTCAATCGTGTGTATGTTTGCAGCTGTTTAGTTAGAAATTATGGGATAGTGTCAGTTTAAGAGAGTGTTCCATATTTGCATGGAGTTTGAACTGAATTAGCCATTTTAAAGATAGCTCGGCGTAATTGTTTGCCCTGCCTCCTTCCCCTGCCCTTCTTGTGACTGAAACCCTTCTAATTCCTAAGCTACATGACCACGAAGATGTGCAGACTTTTTCGGGGAGCCTACTTCAAGGTCACCCAAGCATCCATGACGCCATAATAACGTCATTCAAATCCTGCCGTTCCATGCGTCATCCGGCAATCAAGGCCAAGACAAACATAATTGTCGAGGCACTCATGTCTGGCGTTGCTGAGCGCGATCTCCAGAAATCACGGCCGTTGATTGGCTCTCAATTACTGCCATGCAATGAACCATGCCGTAATCAAACAATGACATTCTGGAGAGCATGTTTACTCAACAAAGAAATTGTGTTGTCAAGAGTAGCATTTTTCACCTTTGCCAGCTGTTGCAAGTGAGCTTAGTTCATCATATTTGATGCTCGCTTCAAGATGATCCTCAAGTATGGACATTCCCTTTAAGTGTTCACCTAAACTTGCTCTTTTGCGTACATAGTTGCAAAAGTAGTGTGAAAAGAAGCTAGTTATTGCTAGAGAAACGCAAGAATTTGAGGTGAGTTTTTGAAGTATGCACCCAATGTTTCTTAAACGGCTTGGTCGTAAGCATACCCAGACTCGTAGCCTTTCCAGGTTTGCACCCAAACCAGCGCGTTGCCCATTCCATCGTATACCTCTACCAGGTGGGTTACGCAGCCCGCGAAGTTCTTCAGCGCCACGTCTGACAGCCCCATGACTATGCAGTGAGTGTGTGGGGGGGGGGGGGGGGGGGGGAGGCGCAGCCCAGATGGTAACCGGACGTCGCCGTAACACGAGCCGACCCACTGGATTTACAGCAGCCACCGCTGGGCTGTTGGGCCGGTGATCCTGGGCGCGTACTGGAACTCGACCTTGGCGAGAGCGGTGACCGGAGCTCACGCAGGAGATAAGCGTTATCGCCTCGTCCATGGCCGCTATGATGGACGGCTGTAGACCGGTCGATGCAGGCTAGACTCGCAGCCAGGCCAAACACCAGTGGTGCACCAGCACCCTAACAAGACAGACGGCTGTAGACCGGTCGATGCGGGCTAGACTCGCAGCCAGACCAAACACCAGTGGTGCACCAGCACCCTAACAAGACAGACGGCTGACGTCAACATGCTGCACTGCCTCCAGAATGCGACAATTCTGTAAATGTTTTCAATTTGTTGCATATCTTAACACAACTGATGGTTCCATCCAGTCTCCGTAAAATCCCCATACTTAAACACGGGGGTCGCAACAAAATGAGGCTGGCGGTGCACCCCAAATCCCAAGGCATGTACTTCAGATCCCGGTGCATGCACCCCAGATCCCAGGGCATGCACCCCATATCCCAGAGCGTGCACCCCATATCCCAGAGCGTGCACCCCACATCCCGGGGCATGCATCCCAGATCCCGGGGCATGCACCCCATATCCCAGAGCGTGCACCCCAGATCCCAGAGCGTGCACCCCAGATCCCAGGGCATGCACCCCATATCCCAGAGCGTGCACCCCATATCCCAGAGCGTGCACCCCACATCCCGGTGCATGCACCCCAGATCCCAGGGCATGCACCCCATATCCCAGAGCGTGCACCCCAAATCCCAGGGCATGCATCCCAGATCCCAGGACATGCACCCCAGATCCCGGGGACCGCATCCTAGATCTCAGGGCATGCACCCCAGATTCCATGGCATGCGCGGGCGCACAGCGCAGCCACTTGCCTAGGAGCTTGGCGGGTGTTCTCCGGGCGGTGCTGTAGCAATTGACGCCGAAGCCCTCCGGTTTCAAGCGATCCTGTAGAAGGCATGTCGGACTGTCTGACGAGCCGAGTCTGAGGCGGGTTGCGGCGAGACGGGATACGGGGGAACTAAGGCACCATCGGGCCACCTCTGGCGCCGGTGCGTCAGCACTGGCCGCGGGACGGGACCGGGTGGAGGGGGCGATGGCACGGCACGAGGCTCCCGCAGACTCCCGACCGTGCAGTCGATGGCAGCACCCTGTTCGAGGCACAGGAGGCACACACTGAGACGGGCCAGAGGAGCGAGGAGGGATGCACCGGGGTGGCGAGGCGACAGGGTGGGAGGAAGGGGGGAGGGGGGCCTAGACGCGCCGCCGTGCGCTGGGCGTACTGAGGCCCGAGGCTCGAGTTTCTGGCAGCTCGGTAGCAACGGCGGTATGCGAAGAGGGGAGGGAGGGGAAGGGGCGGCTGTTTACCGGCGGCACCGGCCGGGCGGGCCCAGCCGCCACGAAGGGGCAGCAGTGTCGGCGGGCCTGCCACGGCGGACCTGCCCCCGCCTGGTCACGCTCGGTCACACACCGACCAATAGTGCACACGCGGCCATGAGTCGAGAAATTGAGATTCTATGGACGTTGAACTGTCCGCCTGGTGAATAAATCCGTGTCCATATCTGCTCGGGTCTGGTGGCGTGCCTGACACTTCTGAACGCGACAGGAACTCATTCGCGTGCCATGCACCGGCGCACGCGAACCAAGTGCCACGAAGGCTTCAGGCGCAAACAAGTAAACCATGAGCTTCCTGACACAACTGTGATCCGTGGCGCTTACATGCCTGAGGTTCGTTAGTATCCGACGTCGTCAAACCTGCACACCTCTAGTTATGTGACGCTTTCTGCACGCTCCAAAAAGAAAAGAAAAACTGAAATATGTCGTCTAACGGTCGAACACTGCGAAGGACCCGTCATTTTCCTCTCACTGCTGGCGGCGCCTTCTGATGGAAACTAAAAGCAATAAGTTTAAAAGATATCTAGTTCTGCGAACCTCGCTCCCTCCCCCAGTAGATCTGCGATTTGATGCCTTTGTTCGCCGCCAGGCATACACACAGAGAGACTGCCTCCGGTCTCTGACACCCTTCGCCTCACATCTTGGTTGATCCGTCGGATACCGAGCTTCTGCTGAGGATCTGACCGGATTTCCCATTCTGCTTCATATACCTCTCGCTTCGTCACCCGGGAGGCCGTCGCCATGGTGAGGTCAGGGGGTCCCGGCCGAATTAAATCACGTGCCACAATAGCGTTTTCCGGCATGCTTGGCGCTGCCGGAGCCTCAGGCCAAGGTCAGGGTAATGTGGGACTTACGGTGGTTTAGATCTATGGCCTGAAAGCTCATATATCGTGTGTTGTTTTATGTCCATACTGCGGCCGTGAACGACCGCATTATGCAACCGCTTTGCAGACAGACGCGTCGTTCATCTGGCAGGTAATGAAAATGTGAACATAATCAGAGACTCGAACTGCGATCTTTGAAAGCCATGCCCAAATGTTTTAAGGCGGCAGATGATTCCCTGATGAGGTTAATACTTGCAGTGCCTATCAGATGGGCGTTATCATCCACTTGGAAGGCGGCTACACAATGCGATTCTTCACAGCCGGAGTATGGGGATAAAACAACACAGGATAATGTCGTATGTTTGTCGACGAATGAGGCGACAATGTCACGCGAACACTTCTTCCAGCAAGCTGTTCCGGCCAGATCGTTTTTGCTGGGTGGAATTGCGAGAATAACTGGTGTAGTTCAGAAGTTCAGAAGATAGGTGCAGTAGCTAGAATAACTGGAGGAGTTTACCAAGCCTTTTGCCCGTGGCGATTTATGCGACACTTTCACGAAATGTATTATATATATATATATATATATATATATATATATATATATATATATATATTCCGAAAATTGATTCCAATCTGAATTTGGCCTTGCTTAGATCATATGTCACCATGAGCCGAGGCTAAACCCGGCATTGGAAGGGCCTCGGCTTCCAGCATACGTGAAAGGGAATCACCATCTGTGAATACCTCAGCGGTGACACGTTTGTAACGAGCGCATCGACATGCAGGCATCAGCTCCGCTGTCATGTTAGAGGCAGCGGTGCCCCCTCGACGACCGCGCAAGACTTCCCGAACACGAGATTCGGTGACGGTGTGATTTGCTGACCCGGGCATTCGTGGGACGCCGGTGACTTGGTGGCCTTTGTTGCTGGGGCCGTCTGGCTGGTGCCCGCGCATGCCAGCCAACAGTTACCACCCAGACCGCTAGCCCGATGACTGCGTCACCACGCAGGTTGCTGCGCGTGGTGTTCTGTCTCGTTCATTCGCGATTTGCACATCCCAAGAGGCACGCAGGGACGTGGTACCGCTGCCTTGATAATATTTTTCCTTTGGGTGCGAAATCCGTGATCAAGGCACAACAAATTTTGCTTAAGAGCGTCAAGCTGATCAAAAAAAAAAACGCAGACCCCACCATCAAGCCATGCAGGGCTTTTCTCACGGGCGAAATGTTGATCACATAAAATTCGCAGACCTATTTCCGTGTGCCATCTATTTCTGAAAAATTATCACGGGCCCACCAAACTTGTCGCCCGCATTGTTACGAACTATGTCTCATACATACTGTCCTCCCGTGGTGTTCCAGATTGTCTGTACCACACCCCATGTGTGCAGCTATGCGCCACCCACGCCGGTCTGACCGGGGCGCCGCTTCCCTTCGCCACAGGTGCGGCCATAGACATGACGATGCTGAACCTGACACCGTACAGCCTGCCGCCGGATGGCCAGTGGGTGATGACGACGGACATTCCAGACTGGGCCCATCTCGTCATGGGTGCCTACCTGGCCGTGGTCGGCACGGCCGGCGTCGTCGGCAACTTCCTGGTGCTCTACATCTTCCTCAGGTGAGCGGTCAAGTGGCCAGTGCCTGTCAGTAGTCTGCGGCC